GAAACGCTGCGCCGGAGCGAAAAGGTTCCTCCCTGCGGCTAAGGGCGCGAGTCTCTGCCTAGGGATGGGGGGGGGGGGATCTTACAACCCCCCATGCTGCATGGAGGGTATTGAAAGCTGTAGGACCTCTGCTTGTCTCAACATGCATCGGCTTGCACCCCGAGCCTGAGTTACTACCCATTGCTGGTCGATGGTTTGGGCGAATCTTACGGGGCGAGCGACGCTGGAGAAAATACGAAGGGCGCAATCGTATGCATGCTGAAACCGGGCGGAAAAATCTTACAATTTAGCCGAAAAGTTGTGGGACTTCTTTTTCTGTCTAACCATGCATGGAATTATGCAGCAAATGACTGGTAAGGGGGAATTCCCGTCACAAGGACCCCGCAGAAGACATAATCCTTTTTCTTACAAATTATTGCCTGGAGACGTGCAGATTTAATACCCTTCGCTCTCTCTTCAAGGTACCCACATAAAGACAAAAAGGTTGGCTCCTACACTGAGTTAAATTGATCGGGAGCAACGATTAGTCTTCCTTATATATTGCAGTCCCAGAGAGTCGGGCTACATCTTACTCTGGCCACCTTGTTTTGACTTGAAGGACAATTTCCCCTCACAAATAGCCAGGCCTGGAGGTCAAAACGGGCGAGTCCCTGTCTGTGATAAGTGGGCTTTGACTCTTTGCTCCTACTGAGCTCCCCATCTGGATCACGCCTTTCCCCCCTGCCAGGGATTGCACAGGGTTAAAAAGTTCCTATTGCAAATTGCTCCTCAATCAATTTTCCTCCAGGGACAGAAACAGGTTGATGGTTGTTTCGAAATTGCAACAGTATGAGGCAAACGTGGGTTCAAGCTGTATGGCATATGAGAGATAGAGTTTTCACTATCATGACCATTAGATGTAATTTAAATTTGAATTAGTTCGCTACATTTACATCCTAGTTTTCTTGTAATTTTGTAGAACTATTGGTTAATGAACTTCTGGAACGCAGCGTGTTATTTTCAGCAGGATGCAATACTAGCATGTTTAAACAGAAAAAAAAATCTACATCTCTCAGCAGTCCCCAACCAGCGTGAGAATGGCTGGACATTGTAGAAGGTTTTTTCTCTTAAAAAAAAAAAAAAAAAGTTAGGATAATGTCCTAACATGCTCAGGGGCAAGGTAATTCCTCACCCTACAAATGTAGCATTCTATTCCATGATGGAAAGAACCCTGAACTGTAGCTGCATCTGAAAGAACCTGGAGGTCTTTTCTTCCAGGAAACATAATACCAAGTTCAATTTCAAATTGTTGCTGTTGTTATTTCTACATGAGAAATGACAACAGTATATCAAATAAGTGGCTCTCCAGAAGGGCAGCGTGGGGTAAATGGAATCCATTAACTGGAACTGGGAGTGGGGATTTTAATACAGAAAAACTCACAAGTAGCTAGGTCCCCATGCATTTTGTGAAAATCCCCCTCCTCATTAAGGGATTTCCATCGGTTCTTCTGGGGAAGACTGGCACCCTGTAACTCATCTAAGCCCCCTGCAGAATGAGCTATCAGAGACCGGGTGGCATCCAGGACCTGCCTTCCACTGGCAAAAGAACTCAGTTCACAGTAGGTGCCTGCTTGGTTTTCAGGGATCCCCCTCTATCCTGATCTCCCACTTCAGCAGGATCCACCAACCCCCTGGGTAGCATTTTCAAGGGACTAGAGTGGCTGCCATGGGTGGAGGGGCAGGGAAGCTCTTTTCCCCAGCCCAGCCGCACACACAAATCAATCCAGTCAAGCTACTGTGTCCATTCCAGAGCAGTCTTCCTGAAGGAAAGCCCTTGATAAAAAGATTAAGGCTGCAGCCCAATATGTGTCTACTTGAGAGTAGGCCCCAGTGAACCCATTAGGAGTTTCGTACTTAAGAGTTAAGATGGACAGAATTGTGCTGTTATTTTATCAAAATTAGTTGGTGAGTACAGGCAAACTGGCAGACATCAACTGCATATCCAGACAGACAGAACACATCTCATGTTGCTGCACAAGATTACTTTATTGATAAGAAAGCCTAATGCCTTTGGCATTGATATTTTAGGGGGTTGTAGGGCTTCCTCAACTGTCTGAAAAATAGTGAAATAGAGGTCTGGTAACAGCTACACCAAATCTTTTTGGAAATATTAAGTTCAAAATACATAAAAGTACATGTTTTATATTTGCATACACTGGATCTGGCAGGGTGGTAATAGCATAAATCAGAAATACAATCATTTTCATAATGTTATACATTAGGGCATAATCCAGAGCATGTTAGATAGGTAGGAATGGTAGTTTTCCCCTGTCTAAACAATGCACAGGATTGCACCCTCAGTGACCCTGTTTCACTAATAACAGGAAAGATAGTATTCTTACTTGATAGGTTAATTTGGATAATGTTCACTTAGGTTAGGAGCAAATTCAGTATACATCTAGTAACTGGTGCATAAAATTGACTCCTGTGCCTATTTCATAGTTACAAAGGCACCTGCTCAATATCAAATAGGTTTAGAGCACAAGGTTTAGGCAGAAAAAAGTTCCACAATTTCCAGAATATGTCCAACAACCATGCTGTCTGGAGAATGCCGGTAGTTGTAGGACATTTTTCCATCTCAATGTGCATAGGACTGTGCTAGGCTCCAGCAGTATGTGGGCCGAGAACTACCAGAAGTACAGGCAGGATTTCGAAGAGGGAGAGGAACTAGAGATCAAATTGCCAACATATGCTGGATCATGGAGAAAGCTAGTGAGTTCCAGAAAAACATCAACTTCTGCTTCATTGACTATGCTAAAGCCTTTGATTGTGTGGATCACAACAAATTGTGGCAAGTTCTTAAAGAGATGGGAGTACCAGACCATCTTATTTGTCTCTTGAGAAACCTATATGCAGGTCAAGAAGCAACAGTGAGAACTAGACACAGAACCACTGATTGGTTCAAAATTGAGAAAGGAGTTCGGCAAGGCTGTATACTGTCGGCCTGTCTATTTAACTTATATGCAGAGCACATCATGAGAAAGGCGGGGCTAGATGAATCATGAGTTGGAATTAAGATTGGGAGAAATATCAACAACCTCAAATATGCAGGTGATACCACTCTAATGGCAGACAAGGAAGAGGAACTAAAGAGCCTCTTGATGTGGGTGAAGGAGGAGAGCGCAAAAGTTGGCTTGAAACTCAATATTAAAAAAACTAAGACTATGGCATCTGGTCCTATCACTTCCTGGCAAATAGATGAGGAAGAAATGGAGGCAGTGACAGATTTTATTTTCCTGGGTTCCAAGATCACTGCAGACGGGGACTGCAGCCAAGAAATTAAAAGACGCTTGCTCCTTTGGAGGAAAGCTATGGCAAATCTAGACAGCATACTAAAAAGCAGAGACATCACCCTGCCAACGGAAGTGTGTATAGTCAAGGCTATGGTTTTCCCAGTTGCAATGTATGGCTGTGAAAGCTGAACCACAAGGAAGGCTGAGCTCCAAATAATTGAGGCCTTTGAATTGTGGTGCTGGAGGAGACTCCTGTGAGTCCCTTGGCCTGCAAGGCAATCAAACCGGTCAGTCCTAGAGGATATCAACCTTTTAGAAGGCCAGATAGTGAAGATGAAACTCAAATACTTTGGCCACCTAATGAGAAGGAAGGACTCCCTGGAGAAGACCCTGATGCTGGGAACAATAGATGGCAAAAGAAGAAGGGGACGGCAGAGGATGAGGTGGCTGGATGGAGTCACTGAAGCAGTTGGTGTGAGCTTAAGTGGACTCCGGGGGATGGTGGAGGACAGGAAGGCCTGGAGGAAGGTTGTCCATGGGGTCGTGATGGGTTGGACACAACTTCGCAACTAACAACAACAACAATAGTAAAATAGGAACAAATCATAAAGGAAACTTTCAAAGCATACCTTTGCTCAAAAATTATTATAGACTAGTAAGGCCCCAAGCCATAATTCCTTGATACAGCATAATTATCTAAGAGTGATACTGTGTCCATGTCAAAGCACTTACTTTAGGCTGGGAGTGAGGAATCCCAGAACTTTGAGGGAGAGGCAAATTCAGGCTTCTGAGACCCCAATCTAAATTTGTCCTCCTCCCCATGGCTTCAGGCCCCTTACCCCAGTCAAATTTAAGTGCTTGACATGGACCTAGTAGCACAGTTAGGTAATGGCAGGATATCTGTTTGGGGCCAGGATTCCCCAGAGGGCCCTGCCCCCTTCCCCTGGCTCCACCCCTTTCCCCCTGACCATCCCTATTTCCCAGCTTTTCCAGTTTTTCACCCCATGCCAAAACATTGAAATGCTTTTCCTAAGGCTTAGGTACTGGCAGTAGGAATATTAAGTTAACCTCAAAAACTTCTCTGCAGTTGAATTTGACCCTGCAGCTGAAAGAGGTTCACCACCCCATTTCGGACTCCAAATTTCCTCTCATGTTCCTTTCCTCCCACTCTGCCTCCTTGCTTGGGAAATGGAAGCCCTTTCCTTATAGTCAAGGAAGCAAGAACAAAATTCCCATTGAAGAGAGAGATGTAAAACACTTGGAGGAAGGTGAGCTTGCACGCAGCTTAGTGCATCTTCAGGTGGGATCATCAAAACAGGAGAAAAGTGGGGCAGGTCGAGCGGTGGTGGTCCTCCCCAGTACGGGTCAGTGTTAGCAATTCCCCAGCGGATTTTTTGGTTATCTGCCTCACTGCCATCTTCAAATACCAAATGCGCTTGCCATTATTGCACTATTGTAAAAGGGAAGACAGTGAGTTCACTGCAGCTGGGCTATTTCTACATCGAGGAGTGAAGGATTTAAATGCTGACTTACATTTCGAACCCTGCATACATGTAGTGACAATGATCATAACAGGACTGGGCTGGATCCACACCAAGGCTGGCCTCCTGTACCCATTTGGAAGTAAAATCAAATGAAGTTCATGGGATTTTCTAGCTTTGCAGTTAGTTATTCTTAGAGCAGATCCACAAAAATAAAAAGGGCTTAAGGCTGCTTACACATACTTACCTTGGAGTAAGTTTTATTGAACTCAGTGGAATATACTTCCAAGAGGAGAGTTTGATTATTATTGCATTCATAGACTGCCTTTTCCCTCTTGTTAGGAACCAAAGGTGGTTTATACAGCTCCATGTTATCCTCACAACAGCCCTGTGAGGTAGGTTAGGCTGAGAGTGAGTGACAGGCCCAAAGTCACCCGGTGAGCTTCATGGCTAAGCTCTTAATCTCCCAGGTCCCCAGTCCAACGCCAACCACCATACCACGCTGGCTCTCATAGATACACAGATGTCCACATAAGATGCAAAGGACTACACTGTAACCCTTAACCTACACAGGACTGTGCCCTAAGTTAGTCTTGATTTAACATACTGCTCCAAGTATGATGAAGTCTGGATCCAAAATTATAGTTATGATGAGAGCTATTTCCTTGAAGTGCTTGTTCATAAATGCACACTTTAGGATGAAAATGCATACTTTTCTAACGACCTCCTCCCAAACAAATATCCATACATTAAGAGATAGCAAATGTACATATTCTGATATCAGATTGCTTTCTTTTCTTATGCTTTAAAGTTTTAAACAGTTAATGACTCATTTAAATTGCTTTTATGATATTGGGAGCCGCCTCGGATCCAAAAATTAGAATATGAGCTAAGGAAAGTATAAGTAATATAGTAATTATAATTGCTCACCGCTGTGGCAAGATGAAGCCACCTCATTGGCTACCGTACCTGGAGTGATAGCCACAACACTGACGGGGCATCCAGTGATGGCACCAAACTACACTGTGCCCAGCAACATCTAAGATCTCTTGATGAACCCCTGCTCTGCAGGGCATCTTGTGGGGGTGGGGCTATTAGCCGCCCCCGGGGCAGCAGCAGCCCCAAGACTGACTCCAACTCTCTTCCTCAGGGAATTCAGACAGCTCATTCTCAGCTTTCCACACACAGGTAAAGCCACTGTTTCAGTGGACCTTCAGGAATTAATCATTGCACTCTCCTGTTCTATTTTGATACCAGTACTGTTGTTTTCCATTTGCCTTGTCTCTGTTACTGGTGTTTTCATTATTTCAATTGCTGTAACCCACTCCGGAGGTTTGGTAAATAGTGGTATAGAAATATTAAACAAAAAAGTTTGTATGCTATGTGTTCACCCATGTTGCATAATATATCATTGCACACAAACGTAGTCACATCAGCCGCTGGCCCCGTTTCACCTCACACAGTTCCCCCAGTGAAATGTGGCTGGGCGTTGCAATAGGCTCCCTGGAGGGAGAAGCCCTCTTGCACAAGTGGACATCGCTAGACAGGGATAAATAGGGGCAGGATTTGGAATCAATAGGTTCCAGACCAGGGATGGGCCAACACTGGCCGTCCAGGCGTTTGGGCCTACATCTCCTAGCCAGTATAGTCAATGGTGGGGAAAGAGGAGTTGTAGGCCAAAAGATTTGGAGGGTTATACATTCCCCACTCCTGCTCTAGAAGGCAGGGTTGGACTGTTTGGCTTGCAAGACTGGTATTCAAATTTCACTCCTGCTTGGTATTTTTGGACAAGTCACTCCAGGCTGCTCCCCATCAGTAAAAGGAAACAACAGCAACCTTCTACCCAATAGGCCATATGGCTGCTGTGAAGATGAAACATACGAAGACAGTAAATGACTTGGCAAACTAAAAAAAAGGTTATATAACTTAATCTCGTTAACATTGTTTCATTTAAAAAAAAAAACTTTGCACAAGTGCAGTGCTAGTCTTCCCAAAGACTTCTTCTGCATGGTAACATCTACTTTGCATGTTCTTCGTGTTATGGAACACCTCCATTCTACTCTCTCACCTGGGTGTTAACACTGGCAAAGTACAAAGCACAAAGTCATATCATGAGGAAAAGGGAAACCAGAGCAAAAACATGGTTCCTCCTCTGTGAAGAATGTTTCCAGGTTCTCTGAAACATGATGCATTGCTAGACTAGGTGTGAGAAATAGAGCAAGAATACTATCTTTTTAAAAAGAAAAAAAACTAGCAAATGCACAGCTGTTTCATAGTAAGCCGCCATTTGCTACTAAGTATACAGGCACTATCCAACTGAACAGAAACTGGAATGAGCTTGGAGGAAGGGTTGTTCTTCCAATCTCATCCTCCCACAAGATTTAAAGATTTAAGAAGCAAGTTGGCGTCAAGTAAGAATTTGCAAGGCCACTCCGGCCTGTTGAACTTTTAATTTGAACTGCGCACGCTTAATAGGCTTATGAATAGTAACTGACACACCTCTCATAGGTAAGAGGCTCATTAGCATGAACATGGGATGTATGAGCGGGAGGGGGGAACATATTAAGGAGCAGTATGATATAGGTGGATGGGGAAGATTGTGACTTCTTAGTAACCAGCCAATGGCGAAGCGGGGATAGTGTTGAGCATCGGAGAAAGGAATGTATATCATCTCACTGATGTTTGAAATAATTGCTCTTTGTTTCTCAGACTACTGAGACATTGAGTCAGTCTTTGCAAACACTTTTTGTATGGAATAAACAGCTTGTATCGACCTGAATCCTGTTTTAAATCTCACACTCGGCGTCTCTGGCCTCAGGCCTCAGCCTGATTCCAGAAATCCTGTGCACGTGTTCAGTGCAGGCCCCTGAACAAGGCCATCCATCCCTCTCAGCAGCCCACTGGGTGGGAGGGAAGAGGGCCAGGGAAGAGGGTAAGAGAAAGAGATGGTGATGCCCTGTGCTGCTTTGCCTTTGCCTGACCCATCACTGGTCTGCAGCTCTCGATGGAGTCCATCCCTGGCCATGAAGAGTTGCCCCCTTCTGGCTTTGGCTGACTGTGAGAGACTCAGTGCATCACACTGTCTCTAGGCTGCAGCCGAGCACAATTGTATGGATTGTGCCAGGCTATAACCCATAGACATAACATTAGACATGCCATTAAAAATATATTTGAATCTCTTACCCACTATTAGTGCCACAACGGACTTCTGTTAATGTAGGAAGTAATATGGAAGAGAAATAGGGATGAATCCAGTCTGAGTCAATTGCACTTTGTTCCCATTGTAATCAACACTGTGAACTGCCAAGTGTCGGCTATTGGGCAGGAAAAAAAATGTAATCAATAAACAAACATTCCCCCATTTTCAGTGAGACCAAGGTGCACCTAAGTCTGGATCCGAATATACATACCAGGTAACATGTTCTACATTCACAGGATAAACCAATTTAAGCACAAATGTTGACGCCTGGCATATGAATATGCTTGCTCATAAGCACGTTCTCTCTTAGAAATATGGATATCATAATGCATACATTCAGAAATGCATACACTGCAGATTACCATGCAATCCTATGCAAGCATAGCAGGCTGGAGCATGCTGGAAATGGTAGGGGTTTGTTTCTGTCTAAATTTGCATATTTGCAAATTATATACTGGAAGAGCACCATATGATGTCTACCATTTGTTTCTAAGCAATGGAGAGAAGGAAGTATTGTGAGCCCAGATTTCCATCATTGAGCTAATCTAGAAAGAGAAAAAAATCCTGCCTGCAGCAACTCATCTAGCTCAGCAGAAGTATGCCATGTTAACAGTGCAAATATCAGATGTACAAAATGGAATGTTTCAAGAGATTAATGGAAATTGTGCTTTGACAAAAAGAAATGACAGAAGAGCAGTGACTGAATCCTCAGGAGGCAGCCTATATAAAAACATTAACTTAAGGACATAGCACTCTGTATCCCTATAAAGTAGTGTGAGCATATTGGCGTGTATAAAATCAACCTGCAGCATCCAGTAAGAGCACTAAGCACTAGTGCTACTAGTATACCATGAGCTGTTAGATTATTTACATCATGCCCGCCCAGCGCTCTCCTGTGAGGAAAGAACCTGCAGTTTATAGTGCAGATTCAAAATGCAATTTAGCTTTCACAAATTTTTCTTCTCAAACACCACACATTGCAAAAAAATAAAAAAGTCAAAGACATAATGTGCAAAGGTACGAGTGCATTCATACCAAGTTTTCTTCTTCAATCTTTCTTCAACTTCCTTATTTAGACTCAACACAAAAAGAAGCAGATTATCAAGCTGGCAGAAAACATTAGTTGCAAAGACAAATTAATAGCCTTATTTAACAGCACAATTCTATACCTACTCAAAAATAATTTAAAGGCATTTACTTCCAGAAAACTTGGTAGAATATTGCAGCTTGAGGTTATATTGTATCACACAAAGCATTTAATTTTCCATTAATTTCTAAGATTCCTGTTTTTATTGATATGCTGTTCCTGCACAACTGAATATAGTAATGACTGATGATTGAAGTTATGCTGCTTATGCCAAAGTATGAACACAGTGTATTTTCTGGTGTACTTCTGTTTGGGAATGTCACAGAAACAGGATGACCTCTGGGTATTTTTCTACGATCTGAATACACTGCCAGCATCAACATTAATTACTCGTTTTGGTGGGCTTGTGATTGATCTGAGTTTAACTGTGGGCTCCATCCTTTCATTTGCTTCTCTAATTCCTTTGTTTTAAATCTAACAGGGTGTGGTTCTACCCACACTTACCTAAATCACAATGAACTTAATAGGCTTTACTTATAAACACAGATAGGGTTATTCTGTATTTAAATTTTTCTTCTAAAGTGAATGGACCCATGACCAATGATGGCTCATGTTGAAGAATGACTGTGTTAGAGTTTCAGTGAACAGAAAACTCCTAAGGTCTTTTCTCTCCAAGGAAGTTGGACACATTCAATCCTACTGAAATCATTGGGACTTGGCAGCTTGATCCCAGCTGTATTACTCAGAAATAAGCAGCATTACATTTAGTGGGACTTATTTCCTTCAAAGTATGCTTAGGATTGTAGCTTTAAAATTTTACTGGGCTGTGAATGTACCTTTCTTTGAATTGTGTGCTCAATATTGCAGAAGCATGAAAAAAACCTTTAAAGCGATGTATTAAATCCCTGCCAAGGGAAGTGCGCTTCGTATGCCACCGTTTTAATTGGTTTCATTTACAGATCTGCAGTGTATCCACTGAAATGCGCAAACTTAAAAGCACATGCACATGCCATGGATTCAGCAGCAATGCACTCCACGTGGGTGAGGGGAAGGCATGTATGCAAGTCACACACTTCAGATACGGACCCAGCTAAAGTTGGTAATGACTGTTCCATTGGCAGCACAACTGAGGCAGGCTGCTTTTGACCAGGGGCTTTGGCAAGATCAACTCTCCAGCGACTCTAGCTGGAGTCTGGCCTTTTGCTTTAGGGAGTACTTCAACCTAGGTCTGTACTGTGGCCCCACTGTACTGTGTTGTAGCAGGACATGTAAAGCAGACCAGACACTGTTTATTATTATGATGTTTTGACAGAATAAAACTTAAAGGCAAGGAACTACAGGACTTGTGTTACTCCAGAATGGGCACCTCAGAGCAGACCAGGGTCAGAATTGCTCTTAAGAGTCTATAGAGTACTAGCTTTTTAAAATTATGCCACTGCTCCATTTGAAAGGTACAAGAACAACATGCATCATTGTTCTTCACTGACTTGTCATCAGAGATTTGAGCAAAGATGAAAGAAAATTTCCATGTATTACAAATGCCACAACACTCAATTTCTTGTGTAAGAGGTGGAGAATTAATATTTTGTACTGCGTATTTAAAAATATGGGGTACAATACAGGCTAAGTTAAAACACTTTCAGGTCCCATTCATTTAATAGGAGATTTAAGTACTGTATATGTTGAAAACATTAAAAATAGAACAAATGTGTACTTGATTTTGACTGGATCATGTTCCTGATGAGAAATGTACAATACAATCCTATGCACATCCACCCAGAAATAAGTCCCATTAAGTTTAATGTTGCCACTTCTCAAGGAAATAGGCATAGGACTGCAAGCTTGCAGTGCAATCCAGTGCATGTTTATCCAGAAGTTAATCCCACTACGTTGATAGGGCTTTCTCCCTAGTATGTGCATTTAAAATTACAGATTCTGAGTCAAAGAAACTAATCATAAAAAGGGACCTGAAACAGAATATCCAAAAAAATACAGTGAAATATATTTAGTCTGGTGCATGCTTGATTAGACAGAGGAACAATCCAATTTTATAATCCAATTACAATCTGTCCATTCCTCTGTGAGCCACTTGAAAGAGCCATGGCATATGCTGCCACCAACCCTTTGCTCTATTTGGCACAAAGGAACTGAATCAAACTATTGGGAATGAACAGGTACCAGTCCGTCAGTAAAGTTAATCTAATGAAACTGCTACCACAAAATCAGAAATCTACCCTCTATACCTACATCCCATTTTCTCTACTTTTTTAGCCAACAGTGACTACTATATTATTTCTTCAAGTGGATCTTGTATAAGGGGCAACACTGATGAAGTTATACTTCTTAATGTACATTGCAATTCACAAAGCCATTTGGCAGTACTGTAATTGGAACAAAGCAAACGACTTCAAATTGAAATTTCTTTTCCCCCTTTGTATTTCCAACTAAATTGATTCTTCATCTTTAGCACAATCCTAAATGGATCTGCTTGAAAATAAGCCCCGATGACATGTTTAGGAGGATGTGCTGTTAACTTATCCTCTAACAACAAAGTTTCAACTCAGCACAGCAGAAACAGTTGTCATAAAATTCTGGATTAAAAACTTAGCACTCTGTTTAATTTGAAGTATTTGTGTCTGACACAATGTATTGTTCCTCAGAGGCCAGTGTACCAAAATCATCTGAAATTCAAGTAACCCAATTAATCTGGTTTATGTACTGGACATGGAAAGAAGTTCACTGATTCAAAACAAGAAAAGTAACACCCCTTTCATGCTTAGTCTTGATGTTAAAATCATTTTTAAGTTTAACTACCATAAACTCAGATTGCTTTTCTAAATTGCCATTTAAAAAAATCTAATAATCTATTCTGTACAATCTGCAAGTAGTAAGATTTTATATTATTTTATAGATGTCCTATTAAGTATGTAAACTATACAACCACATTCCAGTCATTTCATATTTATTCCCCAAAGCATAACTGAAACACTTTTAGATTTATCTACACAATCTATAACATGCAGTGGAGAATAAATGCAAACCCTGAGCTGATATGACATAATATTCCTACTTGAATTGTTCTATAATTGCTACTTTCAAGTTTGAACATGAAGCAGAATACAGATCCAGCTTCTTATTTATCATTAATTTTATGGCAAATGCTTAGATAAAATAAATACAATTATAAACACAATTATGCTGGTCTATTTTGGGCTGTAATTTCTACAAAAACTCTAATCCCAAAGTAATTCATGTTAAAACTGGTATCAACAAAACTTGTTTTCAAAAGTACAGTAGAAACAGAATATAAAACTTCGGACAAACATTTTGTCCAGAGTATTAAAAAACTCCATCACCTCCACATCACACTTGAAATGAAAATGCAACATGATTTATAGCAAGTTCTTTCATTTAAAGGGAATTATTTTTTCAAGAATATTTAATGTTATTTTTGTATGTATGGCATTACAAATTTACAGGCTTTAGCTCTCCCAGTGACAAAACATGTTTTACAAGATGAGCACTTACTTCCTGCTACTTCTTCAATAAAAAAAATTTAGACTGCAGAAATAAAATTAACAGTCTTAGGAATTAACAGCACAATCCTACTCAGAAGACTGAGTTCAAAGAGACTTACTCCCAGGTAAGTGTGTAGAGTACATAGGATTGCAGCCTAAATCTGGCATCAGGATAGGAAAAAATAATCCTTTTTTCCTTCTCTATCTTTTCCCACTTGAAGCTGGGAAATGATGAGTTAAAGTATTAGCAACTTGAGCAGTTGCTGTATATGTGATACAGTGAACGTAACAGACACATGAAATTGATGAAACAGTCTGTTGCATCAAATTCATGTTTTTTCTCTAATTCAACAGCCCTATTCAGGTTTCAAACACTGAAAAGGATTCAGATAAAGTTAAGCACTTCTAAGTCCTACTGAATTAGTGGAAGTTAAAAATACTTAAAGTTGACTTCAAAGTTCCCACTATGTAGATGCAAATCTTCTGATTTAAGTAGAACTGAATGTGCGTATCTACTTAGGGACTGTCATAATAACAAATCTGTTCCTCCTTTGGAATCAAGTATTATTTCCCCTGCAGTTTTCAATAATGAACTCAGTGCTATCTCTTGTCACATTTGAATGCTGTAATCCTGATCAGCAAGAGCTTCCAGAAATAATGAATAAAATCAGGAAAAAGTCAGACTCCCCTCTAGATCACAGTACATCCCACAATGGGAAACTTAGCACTCACTGCATTGCTGTGGAAAAGCTGAGAAAATTTAATGAGATACAGGTTGTGGTTCCAATTAATGGGGTGCTCCCTGAATAAATGGGGGATTTGTTTGTTTGGACTAAACAAACACTTAAATCAGACGGCCTTCAAACTAGGGTATTTTGTAAAGCCCTCAGAAGAAAGAAAAACATCAAATGAAACCGACTCAGTGGGATCTTCCCAATATGACCCCAGTGTTAATGTATTTATTTTCACGCTGCAGTTGCATTGCAGGTTGCTTTACAGAAACATCACATGCTGTAGCCCCCATATGGAGCCAAGGTCAAGGGGGTGGGGAGAAACATTTTTATCCAAACAAAGCTATTAAATAAGCTGTACACAAAAGGACTGTTTTTCCCCTAAGGACAGATGAGAAATTATAATAACGAGAAGAGCCAGACCCTCCAAAAGCAGGCTAATGCTGCTGTTTCTCTATAAAACAGTAATCCAACCCATGTTGATCAGAAGTTTCTAAATGAGGTCAACCTTCTGGTCCAAATAACTGCTGCAAAACAGCTGGCAAAGACTTCATCCTGTTGGGCAGCATGATAGGTGATTGGATCCCAGAACATCTTAACTCTGGGACAATAACAAACAAAAAGCAGCTGGATTTTTTTTAAAAAAAATCATTCTTTACAAAAACGGACAGATCAATCCCAAAGAGTCCCAAATCTGGCAAGATTAGAGTGGGGCTTCAACGCTCCACTTATGCTCACAAACTGCAATCATCTTCTGATTTGGCCACGCTTTTAGTCCCAAAGGGCTGGGATCTACAAATTACCAGCACAAGTCCTTGGAGAGGCGGCAGTCTTGGATCTGCTAAAGCCAGGAGCCCGCACCTGCTCCTTTCAAAGAACTGTATCTTCTACAAGCCTCCAAGCATGACCTGCCATCTTCCTGGGAGGCTTCCCAGGCGGTTCTGGAGCTCCCTTTAAAGGACGTTCACGTTTGGCCCCTATGAGGCCTTCCTCCTCCTCTTGCTTTGTTCCAGAAATTTCTAGGCTGGCCACGGTGGGGTTCCCCAGATCTTCCCCGCCAGGCTGAGGGGATCCCCACCGAACCCACGTTAATCCTAAGGAGCGCAGGCCTAGGCCGACGCTGGGGCAGTCACCGCGACGGGTCAGATGTCCCGCGGCTCCTCTCTTTTAACTGCGCAGGCGTGGCCGCCGCTCCCCACGCCCGCCTTGAGGCGCTTGTTCTGGTGCGTCTTGACGTGCTTGGCCAGGTGGTCGCTGCGCATGAAGCGCTTGCCGCACTCCGCGCAGCCGAAGCGCTTCTCGCCCGTGTGAGTCCGCAGGTGCCGCTGCAGCTCGTCGGAGCGCGTGAAGCTCTTGCCGCAGAAGAGCCAGTTGCACACGAAGGGCCGCTCGCCCGTGTGCCAGCGCAGGTGCGCCTTGAGGTGCGACGTCTTGCCGTACACCTTGCCGCAGCCCGGGATGTGGCACACGTGCTGCTTCTTCTTGCCGGGCTCTGCAGCGGCGTCGGGGCCACTGCCGGCGGCCGCTTGGCAGTTGGGGCAGCGGCAGCGGCGGCACCTCCTGGCCGTGGCCGCCAGGGGCGCCTTGGGGTGCAGCAGCGCGGCCAGCTGCGTCTGGTACTGCGCCAGCTCGGAGGGCGCCAACACCAGCCCGCGCTGCAGGCCTCCCGCGGCGGCCGCGAAGCGGTGTGCGCAGGCGCCCGGGCCCGGCGCCGCCTGCTGGATGCTCCACCAAGGGATGTCGTCGGGCGCCGGCGACAGCTGCCTGCAGGGCTGGGGCGCCGGGGGCAGAAGGTTAGAGTAGCCCGGCGGGAGGGCTGCCTGGGCGGCGTAGGGCACGTAGGCTGGCGGCGGGCAGCCGGAGGAGAGCGCGCCCATCGATGGCGGCAGCATCTTGACGGGCGAGAACTCGTAGGGATATGAGGGGTCCGCCGGGGGAGTCAGAGGCAGCTCATGGCCGCCGCCGAAGGCCGGCTGCGGGGTGAGCCCCAGGCTGGGCGGTGGTGGGGGCAGTCCGCCCGGCGAGTGGGCTGGCATCTCGCTGCTCCACGGGTGGAAGATCCTGGATGGAGAGCCCAAGCCTGGCTCGTAGGAGACCTGCAGGAAGTCCGAGGGGGCGCCCGACGTGCCCGGCTGCCCGATCCGACTACAGGTGGCGGCCAGGAGAGCCAGGGGCGAGTGCTTGGTCAAATCGGGGGAGGCGCTCGGAGTACGATCCTGCGGCAAGGAAGAGAATTAGTCGCTTTTGCCTAGCCCAGTCCTCCCGACTTCCTTCCCGCCTCTCTTGCGCCGAAGGAGCCACTTACCACCCCCCGCGCTGGGTGATAGCCAGGCGGCTTCTCAGAAAGTTTGCTGTTAGTGACAAAGTACCAGTTGCGGAGCACATGGGCGGGGAAGTTTGTCAGAAAAACAGTCCCTTCGGTTGGCTTAGGGAGGGTTGCCTGGAATCATCATCATCACGCAGCCCCACACGCCCTGCTTCTATTCCCTCCTCCTCCAGATCGGTGCCAACTCGGCAGCCTCGAGCGAACCGCGCTCCAGGCAGCCTCGAGCGAACCGCGCTCCAGGCACCCTCGCGCCCAGCGATCTCTTCCAGCCAGCCACTCGCTCTGGAGTACTTCCCGTCACCTTGGAGAATTAATTTGAGCCCCCCCCCCCCCCCGGAGTGGGGATGGGAGAATAGGCGTAGACGCAACCATGCACCGCCAAGAAAGTTTTCTCTGTTGATTAGGGGGCAGTCCTTGCAGTCAGCATCAGGCGGGTATTCCTAAATAAATAAGTCTCTCATCAGTCCAGAAGCTTTTCAAAGTTAAGTTTTAAAAATTAAAAGCCCAAAGAGGGCAGGTACTTTTCTTTGCCCGTTTAGCAGTATGTCGACCGAGCCTGCTTCCTGAAGAGCCTATTTTAGGGATGCCCCCGACTCCAAAAGACTTGCCCCAAGTTGGTGGCTTCCTTCCAGTTTTCTGTCTCCTGAGTATCTAAATATGCCTCGATATTAATTATTTGCATGCACCCCGCTCAACTCTAGCCGGCCCGAACTGGAGACTGACCTGGAGAAACGCCTGCAGCGAATCGTTCCGGAGGACGGCCACTGCGGCCATAGCTACCGCGTCCGGAGGAAGGAGAGGCCAGGGGGGCAGTGTCGCGGCATGGAGTCGCCAAGGCGAAGCTGAAAAACTGCCCAGTTTCCTTCCCTCTTCACCCTTCCTCTCCACCCCTGATTTCCTCGGCTTGCCCGCCCCGCCGATCTTCCCCTAACTAGACAGCAAGCCCAGGCGCAGCGCGATCTCCGCGGACTGTCTGACTGCACCAGGATCACCTCCAAGAATTTGATAAGGACTTTGCTGGGCCGCCAGCCAGTCAGAAGGAAGATTTATGGCTTTGAAGTTTGCCGCTACCCAATCATCAAAGAATAGCGGCTCTTTCAGAAGCGAAAGCAAATCCTTTGAATCCACAAAGCTCCTATGGTGTGTTTGTTGGTCTGGATAAAAGAACTGATTATTAGGGGGGATGGGTAGGGAGGAGATAAAGGCGGGACAATTAATGAAGTAATCACTATGTGGGAAATGTATATACACAAATAATTGGATTTCCTTGATCAAAGGGCCCCTTACCGCCTGGAGACCCTCACACTCGACGTTCAAGGCATTGCATCATGCCCCACCCCCGCTTCTCCCCCCGTTTTATGTATATTATGATTAAGGATTTGTAGCAGAACCCCAAACTGACAACCCGGCTTTGTTATCCCATGCTATCTGCATCCGGATCCCCTGCTTGAGTGGGTGGCACTCCATATTTGCCGTTTTTGTTTTAAGCTGTCTTTAAAGCAGGCAGTGAAAGTTTACTTGAGCGGATTCTAACTGCCTGCCCCACTGCAAAAGTTTCACCGTTTCTGGTGTGTTTGTGTGTGGCGTTCTAAAATGAGAGAACAGAAGCGAGTCGCTCTCTCCAAAGCGCAAAACCCATCTTCTTCGGTGTTCGAGCTGTCGCTCTTTACGAACTGGAGGTTTAAACTGGAGTGGGTTCGCAAATGCATGGTTCTACTGCCAGCAGCAGCATTCCTCCCCTTGTTAATAAAGGGTCATTCTGAAACCCTACCCACCCCACCAGTGCTATGAATGCTATTTCTATAATACTTCGAATGAAGTTCCTGTTTCTTAGACGTTTTGAAAAATGCGTTCTGGCGTTATATGTTGCCCAAAGCGTAGAGAATGTCGAACACTTAAATTTTAGAGTAGGAAATCCTTTCCAAGTTTGGAAGACCATTTCTGATGCCACTCAACCGGAGCAAATTCAAAGGCGGGTACCGCAACGGAGGGGTTGGTGTTAGCGCGACGGTCCGTTGCAAGGAAGCCGGAGGTATTTTTTTTTTTTAAACTCCAGTCTTGAGGAGTGGCGGGTTAGGGCTGCGAACAGCACGCCTGGCTGGAAACCCTCTCCAATGAAATACTGATGGTCCTGAGGGCAGAGGGCGGGTTTTGGGGTAACGTTTTGCCCAGCTTTATATATCGCACGAGGCATTTTGCGAGGCGCTTCTGATCAATATCCGCTTTGGGGAGTCCCTGTATGACGAGAGATCGCTGCTTGGAGAAGAGTCGGCGCTTGATGCGAGATCTACCTAATGTTTGGACACGTGCCAAGGGGGAGCTTCCCAATGGTGTCGGGAGGGAGGGAGGGAAGGAAGGAAGGGAGGAGGGAGGAGAGCTGCGGGGAGACCGCCTAGTCTTGTGAGAGCTGAAGTTTGGGTCACTCGCCAGGTAATGTGAGCCGCCCGGCAAGGGTTGGAGCAATTGTCTTCGCGTCGCCACTGAAGCCGCCTTAAACGCCCGGCACAGAGAGATCTTTATCTGGCTTTCCTGTACAAACAACCAGTTGGCCTCTCAGGGTCTTCCAAGGGGCTGTCAGGGCCTGAGCCGGATCGGTGTCTTTGAAGGGATTAAAGGGCCAGGTCCTCTCCCACGGCTCCATAGGGAATCCCGGGGAGAAGCGCAAAAACCCCACGTCGGGCCTCTGGATCTCCGATGAGACGCACCCATCCACACTTCACGGAGGCAGCGGTGGGGACCTGAAGGGCCTTGCCTTGTGACTTGCAGCTGCTTAATCAGATCGATCATATGGAAACACGGACAGGAGCTGGAAGAAAAGAGGTAGAGATCGATATATCCATACTCCTGGTATGCCTGCCAAAAGCTTTTAGCCGCCGCCGCGCAGAGGCTCTCCCTCGCAGATAATTCTATTACACAGACGCAAGTGTCGTATTTGTATAGTGTGCGTAGATATGATATAGGTGTCTGTAGAAGGAACACACAGAGCGTGCATATTTTGTGTCTCTGAAAACGCCCGCAGGAGCATAAATCCAACGCGTAACCACAGTTCCCCCCACCCAGATGCTCTGCGACCCAGAGCCATATTGATTGCTGTTGTCTTTATTCATCTGCAGGGAAAGAGCGTGGAACGTGTTTAGGGCAAGATCTGCTCTTCCATCTTCACCCACCTGCTGCAATTAGCGTTTTGCTCCCGCTGGCCCGTCTCCAGCCATCGGATGTGGCTGCCCCCGCCCGCCCTCCCACCCCCGAGCAGATGAGTCTGGTAGGGGAGAGGTCACAGCTGCGTGGCTTTCGCCAAGCGGGCCGAGCTTTTCCTCGGGGCGCCCCTTCCAAAGAGTTTCAGGCCGCTCACGTCGAACAGAAGCGACCTCCGGTAAGAAAGCTGCCGCTCCTCCCGGCCTGGGGCAGCAGCGGGATCCCCGACAGAGCTGTGTGGGCAGCCAGGAGCGGTAAAGAGGCCGAGGAAACACCCAAGAGGCGGCCTGGTTTGATTTCCCAGTAGCAATCCGATGGCTTCGGCTCCTCGTCTCTCTGACCGGAGAAAGAGCGACAGCGTAACTTTAGGGTAGGCCGGAAGGAAAAGACTAACCAGGGGGCGTGTTGATCCCGGAACAGAGCCCACGAGTAACGCGTCCTGTCCGCTGCGCCGTCCAAAGGACGTGGGGAGCGGCCTGGGGTCGGGGATGCCCCCACAATTGCGGGGGGACTCCCATTCGCAGGCGTCGCATCGCCTCCTCGGGTGTGAAGTCCTCGTCTGCCTCCTTTCTGTGCAATGAGACTGGCGAAGAGTTACAAGCCTGTTCTTTCTAAGGCATGAAAGAAAAATTTCGACGGGCGCTTTTGGATCCATAAATAACAGAATATGTATACCTCAAAGCACCTCTTTTTCAGTGTAACTTTAAAGGAATCTTACGTGTAAGAACGCTTCCTTTTATAACTGTTTCTGGAAAATGGTTTTTCAGTGGCTGAAATCAAGATTCAATGCAGTCTTGGAAATGTACAGCACTATCTCATCCACGTTGCTGTGAAAGAGGGTGCACTGAAATCAGCAGGATACCAAGCAGATGGACATAGGATTGCGGCCTGCTAGCACAATCCTATGCATGCTTATTTAGAAGCCCCACTGAATTTAATGGGAGTGATTCCTAGTCTAGACTCTGGGCTAAATCTGGATGAATTGTGATTTGTGGCATGGTTGGAAAAATAGATCAGCTGGGTTGCTTCCTATTAGAATAGACCCACTCACTACATTAACTACCTAGAGTAAGACCTACCATTCACTTCAGCATGTTTCCCCTAATATTTATTTAAAATATTCCTTGGCTACCTTTCCAGACAAAAGCCTTCCCAAGCAGGGGTACAACAATAAAAAGCAATGTGGTAATAAACAGTAAAAACACCATAAAACCAATCGCAGCAAACATTCTAAATAGCAACAAACACCAGCATAAAATAATATTTAAAGGCAACTCAGCTACAACCCAGTCAGATAAAAGATAATCAGAGGAGGCCAGGCTCAGGTACATTTTTGGCGTTTTCCTAAAAGTCTGCAATGACAGGGCCCCGCAGAGGTGTGGGACCACTTACAGGAAAGCTTACTCATCTAACTAATCTCACAGGTGGGCAGATGCGCTGGCCTTCACTCCTGATCTTACAGTGCAGGCATGCAGATATGACCACAGGCGGTCCTTCAAGTAATATTATTCTCAAACCAGTTAAGGTTTTTAAGATAAAAACCAGCACTTTAAATTGCACTGGTAACCAGTGCGGCTGGTGGACTATAGTCAATAAATGATCAAATTACTTTGGCCCCACCAAAGCTCTAAATAGAACTGTTGCTATTGGTCGATAGTCTGGTTTGCCTCGGAAATGGGGATAAAGGCAAGTTGAACAGAAGGACATTTCAGGCAGCATTCATTTGCTGTCTGTTTAATTAGTGATGGAAAAGAAGTCCGTTCCCCTTTCTGGAACCAGATCCTTAATACGTGAGGGTCAAAAGAACCTGGGTGGAAGGTGGGTGTTGCTTTGAAAAGGCTTTAGAAGGTCATAAGATTATATTTATTTCACACACTTGTTTTTCAGTTCTTTGGAATTACATTAGGTACATCAAGGCCAAAAATCACCTCAAAATATTACACAAAAGCAAGAAAAGAGATGCAGTGAGGAACCAGAGGCTTAAACCCACAGTGCATTAAAAAGAGGAACAATGAAAGAGTCCTTAAACTGAAGTACCGTCCAGGCAACTAAATACGGAGGAGGATGGGCGCATCTCTGGCCCAGGATGCTCACAAGGAAACACAGAGGCTGGGCAAGGATTTGCATCCCTCCTTCCCATTTGGCCACAGAGAGGCAAGAAAAAGTTCCCTAGAAGTCCAGATCTGAACAGCCCAGACTGGGGTGGGCTGAGATGAGAGCAGCAAGGCAAAGCCACAGACCTGCCTCCCTAGAGGCGGTGGTGGTGGCAGCAAGAGCAGGGGCTGTAAATATTGCAGAGGTGGCAGTAGCTGATTCAGGCTTCTTGGCGGTGTTCCTTTTCTCAAGGGGGCACATCTTGTTCCTGTTTCCTTTCCCCCACAGAGAAAATGGCAAACTGGAGAGAACGAGAGAAAGAAGAAAATGATGGATAATTTTGCGCACACTTTTATCCTAATCAAAGCAGAATCGAAAAGTATGATATACGCACACACAGAGACTCATGGGGTGGATCCAGATTTAGTAATGTTTAGAGAAGACCAAAGGGAAGTTAGTCATAGCCCATCATTTTCAGTGGGTCT